GTTATGAAACTGGAAAATTTCCTTAAAAAACATAAGAAAAAGTTTTAAAATGCTATCGAATATCAAGTCTTGTATAGGGCAATTAATGCTGACAAATGTCCTCACATATGACCAGAAAACATGTCTCAAACAGATGATGAGAAGATTTTGGTAGTTAGAAATCATTAATTTATATAATTAATCATTTTTAACTACCGCATTATCCTCACCATGTGTTCTTGATAAACACTGATTATCCATGTCAGTTTTTCAGGCTTATCTATCGATTTCTTTCAATCTGTATTTATCTATTTCAGTTTCTTTCTTTCTTTCTTTCTTTCTTTCTTTCTTTCTTTCTATCGATCTATACATCTCTGTACGTACAGATCTATCTATCGATCTATCTATCTATCGATCTATCTATCCATCTCTGTACGTACGAATCTATCTATGTACGTACGAATCTATCTCTCTCTCTCTCTCTATCTATTTATCTATGTACGTACGAATCTATCTATCTATCTATCTATCTATCTATCTATCTATCTATCTATCTATCTACGTACGAATCTATCTATCTATCTATATCTATCTATCTATCTATCTATCTATCTATGTACGTTCGAATCTATCTATCTATCTATCTATCTATCTATCTATCTATCTATCTATCTATCTATCGGGTGCGATAGTTAAATTATCGGCATTTTATTTTTTTTATTTCGCGCATGCGCGTTGTGTATTTTTCATATGTTAGATTTATTTTTTATTTATATTATAAAAAATAAAACATAACATAAAATAAAACAGGAATGAAAGTCACTGTATTCAGTTGACGTAGATCCCAGGATTGCAAAACGATTTTCAACACTTTTGAAAACATGACTTTTCTGGAATATGACGTCAGCGTATGATTGTTAACCTCTTTGGATTTCTAGACTATGGACAGACTACAAGTCAAACAAGAACGCCCCCACCAAAAAAAAAAAAAAAAACATAACATTTATGGCACCTGTGAGCTAAGAGGAAGGTTTATGAAAAATATGAACGAAAAGAAGACGTCTAAATAAAATCCGATAGGAACGGTGGGTAATTTCTTCGTAAGACCAGAATTTAAGTTTTTAGGAAAGAAGAAAATTTTAGTAATATACCTATCTAGAATACGTAAATAGATGACAGCACAGAAGCTAGGAAGGACAATGTAGTGTCAAACACTGTAAATAATAGGAAGCTGTAGAGGCCTATGATCATACACGACATGAAAAGAGGGATACATCGAGTAGTATTAATCGAGTGTTGGCAATTAGATGACAGAGGAAATAAGTGGAATAATGAAGGATCAATATCATTTAAAGCTATGGAAGTTGTGCAGACCCACGATTAACACGTCTTGAACGGACAGATGAAAATCTCGAGTTGCCTTCTTATTGAGTTTGTGCAAATAGATGTTAGATTAAGGTCTAAGGAGAATAATATCAATATTACAAAATGCTATCACGGATAGAAAGTTGTGGAGAGCCACGATCACACTCTTATTGAAAGAACAGATGACTTAGAATGACTTACTTATTGAGTATATACAAATAAATGAAAGGGCAAGTTTTAAGGTGAATAATAAGGGGTTAATATTACTTGAAGAATAGGAAGCTGGGGAGAGCCATGATCACATACGACTTGACGGGACAGGTGCAAAGCTCGAGTAACTGAACTATTGAGTGTGCGTAAACAGATGGAAGAACGGTGTTTGAGAAAAAACAATAAGGTGTCAAATATATTTTAAAGGTCAATAAAGAATGAGAAATTCTTCAAAGGACAAAGTGAAACATTGAGTGCCTTACCTATCGATTATCCGATGCATAAATAATGACTACGAGGAATAATAAGGGGCCAATTTTGTTTAAAACTATGAAAAATAGGAAGATGCGGAGAGTCATGATCACACATGAAGGGACAAAAGGAAACATTCAGTAACTAACTTACGTGGGAAATGATTGATCCTAAACTCCGCCATATTATATATTAAGAGTAATATGACCTTATTAAAGAAATCTATGCTAAGATAATGATAATTAAATGATAAAATGACGTCAAATTAATTATTGCATCCAGTAGAAGGACGAAATTTGTGATCGACATCCATTTCTGAGCGAGAGATGCACTATGATATGTTATTTTGTAAAGACCGTCATCGAAAGATTCAAGCAACACTTGTTTTCGTAAATTGACAGTATTTTTTGCAAAATTCCTATTTCTAACCTAAGTCTTTTTTTTTGTTCAGTTGACGAATAAATAGAATCCTATAATTCATTATTGTCGTTTTTAAATATAATGCGAAGGTTTCTGACAGTGCCTGGCAAGCCAAGTTAATCGCAATTATCATTTCGTTAGAAAATACAAAACTACGAAGGTCAAAGTCCCCGGAGTCCGTGTGCTTTTACGCAATCTTCGTCTGCGCCCTGACCCCCAAGAAATTTGTGTACTCCTGATTTTTCCCTAACTAGAGAGACTGCGCAATGTCCTTGCTAGCCAAAGTTGCATAGATTTGAAAATGTAGAATCCCAATTAGCATTTTAGATTATCAAGGTTACGTACGCATTATTGTTATTATTATTATTATTGTTTTTATTTCCTTTGATATCTGATGTTTACACATTTCTTTCCGGGTCCCTCCCAGGGACCTAAGGTTAGAGATGGTATTATTATTATTATTATTATTATTCACTTTGAATTTTGTTTGTATATTCATTTCAACCAGGGTCACAACCAGAGACCTAAGTTCAGAATTTGCATCAGGAATATATTCCAGTGAATATTTTTTGTTATAAAAAGACACATTTTACATAGATAAATCTCTTCCGAAGGTGTGTTGAGGTACTTGTGAATACATTATTATTATGTGTGTGTATTATTATTAATAATAATAATAATAATAATAATAATATCTGCGCTGGAAAATATGCACCTTTTACGAGAAGGAAACTGCAAGAAACTGGTATGAACATCCCCCAGACCCGGTTACAGAGATAGGACCAGTAATAATTTTATGGGACTTTAAAGTAAACAATGACAGAACAATCAATGCTAATCGCCCGGACATCCTGATCAATGACCACAAAAACAGAATGTGCTTTCTTATTGACATGTCACTCCCTGCAGATTGTAATATATATTTTAAGATCTTCAAATACCTATCAAATACAAGGATCCTGAAGTGGAAATTTCAAAAATGTGGCACTTGAGGACATCAATAATTCCAGTTGTAGTTGGAGACCTCGAATTGATTAGTAGCCCATGCCTTAAAGAAATACAAAGAATTGTGCTCACAAATACATCTCATACATTACGAAGAGTTTTATCTCTGTAAAATGTGTGTGATTTTAGTTTTTTTTTTAATTATTAGTAGAAAATGTTATGAAGCAATTTCTCACCTAAGGTCTCTGGTTGTGACCGGGAAGAAATGTGTATACAACGGAAATCAAAGAAATATTAATAATAATGCATTTTTAAAAATTATAAAAAAAATGATTATACAATACAAGGTTTAAACAATTTCAAAAACTCTTGGGGACCAAAAGTAACTCTCGCGTCATGGTGACAAGCTGAACAAAATTTAATGCATTACAAATGGAAAGGAATAGATATTAAATGACTATAAATGCAGTATGATTGCTGGTGCTACTCACATTTTAACGCACAATAATCTTGAAATAACACTTGTCAGAAGTAATGGTAAAGAGGAAAAGAACATATGAAATGTCAAGATTCATTTTAGTTGACTCAAAAAAGTATGAGAAAATGATGACAGTTGTGTCAGTGTAGTTTTGACCAGCTGTAAAAGTGACAGTATCGATAACCAGCCGGAGAAATTAGACCCCATCCAATGTCCAGAGTATTACGGAATTCAACTAGGTTACTGGGAAATTTAAAGTGGTAGTAGGTTCATGTCCTTCACATAGCAAAACGTTCACTTCGACGTGTTTTAATAAATCAGTTACGAATGAGTGAGTTCGATCTTCACTGGGAGCAGCATACCTTCGGCCTTGTAGCAAATGTAAGCTACACTTAGAAAATCATTTTTAACATTTCGACGTGGGGCATGTTTTGCAATATTTTTTCGCTTGATCAGTTTCGACTGAGTAGTGAGTTCAATCCTCATTGTGTGCTCCAAAAATTCGGCCTTGTGCCACATATAAACTACGCTTATTAAATCATTTTTAGACACTTCAACATGGTCTAATAGTTAACAATTTTGTCTAGCTCGATTAATTATCACTGAATAGTGAGTTCGATCCTCAATGGGTGCCCCAAACTTTTGGCCTTGTGCCACGCGAAAGCTACGCTTAGAAAACCAACTTCACAAAGCAAAAATGAACTACTTGTAGGAAAATTCAATAATTTATGCTGATTATATTAAAATGAAGCTAAAATGAATTCGTCAAAAAAGACTAGAATTATGCTTAGAAGAAATGGCAGTAAAGACCAATCGTAGAAGAAATATCAATTCATATGCAGAAAAAAAAAACAACAAAAAAACAGCAAATGGTAAGGAAAAAAATAAAAAATAAAATAAAAGCAGAAACGTAAATAAAAGGAAAGTGATTAGATGTTTGCAAAGCGAATATCCCCCCCTCCACAAAAAAATAGCGGCGTGGATTTGTGGAATTATCATAATTACATATTGATTTACCCGTACTAGTGTTCTAGTTTGGACACTAGTTCAGTCGTTCTACCCTCACATCTTCTTTGGATGTCTATAATATTTTTTTATGTTAAAAAGAGTAAAGAAGAAACTTAAGCCGCATAGATTGTAAACAAGTGGAGAGAGAGAGAGAGAGAGAGAGAGAGAGAGAGAGAGAGAGAGAGAGAGAGAGAGAGAGAGAGAGAGAGAGAGAGAGAGAGAGAGAGAGAGAGAGAGAGAGAGAGAGTGAGAGAGTGAGAGAGAGAGAGAGAGTGAGAGATGAAAGAAAAACAAAGACAAGCGGAAAGAAAAGAATACAAGAATATAGAAAAAAAAGATATAATTAGCAAGCGAAGATATAAAGATATAACGAATAATATTCAAAGCCAGAAAAGAAGGAAGAAAAAACGGAAGAAATACATAAAGAAAAAAAGAAAGAAAGAAAAAAAAAGAAAGAAAGACAGTAATAAACTATATAAAAAGTATGAGAAATCAAAATAATGATGTAAAACCTGGAGAAAGAAAGAAAGAAAGAAAGAAAGAAAGAAAGAAAGAAAGAAAGAAAGAAAGAAAGAAAGAAACTATATAAAAATTTTGAGAAACGAAAATAATAATGTAAAACCTAGAGAAAGGAAGGAAGGGAGAAAGGTAGAAAGAAAGAAAGAAAGAAAGAAAGAATGGAAGAAAGAAAGGAAGAAAGGAAGAAAGGAAGTAATAAACTATATAAAAATTATGAGAAACGAAAATAATCATGTAAATCCTGGAGAAAGGAAGGAAGGAAGGAAGGAATGAAGGAAGAAAGAAAGAAAGAAAGAAAGAAAGAAAGAAAGAAAAAATAAAGAAAGAAAGAAAGAAAGGAAGAAAGAAAGTAATAAACTATATAAAAATGTATGAGAAACGAAAATAATAATGTAAAACCTGGAGAAAGAAAGAAAGGAAGAATGAAAGAAAGAAAAAAAGAAAGAAAGAAAGAAAAAGAAGAAAGACATTTCAAAAGAAAGAAAGAAAGAAAGAAAGAAAGAAAGAAAAAGAAGAAATACATTGAAAAAGAAAGAAAGAAAGAAAGACAGAAAAAGAAAGAAAGAAAGAAAGGATGAAAGAAAGAAAGAAAGAAAGGATGAAAGAAAGAAAGAAAGAAAGAAAGGGAGATCGTAAGAAAGCGAAGAACATGGAAGAAAGGGAAAGTCGTTGAAGAAATCTTCGAAACAAAAATGCTGTATTAAAGAAAACGGAATAGAAATTAATTCAAATTGAAAAATGGAGAAATAAAGCAAGAGAGGTAAAAAGAAAGAGAGAAAGAAGCCAAGTAAGAAAGAAAGAGTGAAAGAATGTGAAACATTATAAAAAAGACGTACGAAACAGAATTATAAAAAGGAAAAAGTGAGGAAAATAAAGAAAAGAAAAATAAAATAGAGAAAGAACTAGAAATAAGACGAGGTAGAATTTAAAGAATGAATAGAATGAAAGGGAAGAAAGAAAAGAAGAAATAAACGCCCAAAATACGAAAAGAAAATGAAAGATGGATTATACATCAGATAAAATTAAGAAATACATATAAGAAAGAAAACGAATAAATAAAGATTGAACAGTAAACGTTTCACAGAACTAAATTCATTCTTTGCGATGGTAAGACGACAGTGGGAATGAAGCCAGAGTGGAAAAGACAGAAATGGAAGAATAAATTTAATATGGAAAACTTTAAATACTAATCTCTCTTGTAACAAATAAAAGGGAATTCAAAAATGAAATAAAGCTGAAGTATGACTCCCAACTACACGGAGCAGATTATAAAAAGACAATGAATAAATATAAGAAAAGAAAACTGAGTTTTTTTTCTCACTCAAATAAAATATTCTATAAAGATGGAATGTTTTCTGAATAGTTCCTTCATAACTCAATCATTCACGCTTCTAAAAGCAAGCTGACTGAAAAACTTCGTAGAGATTTTCAATTTTGAAATTATTTGGTTGACGAAGAAAAGTAAGAAAAATAATAATGAAAAAAAGTAGAAGGATGCTTGTAGATGTGAAAACGAAGAAGAAGAAGAAGAAGAAAGAGAAGAAATATTTTCTTGTAAATGTGACAACAAAGAAGTAAACGAAGAAGAAGCAGACGAAGAAGAGGAAGAAGACGAAAAAATAGAAGAAGAAATAGATTCTTGTAGATGGGAAAACTATGAACATGTAAACGAAGAAGAAGAAGAAGAAGAAGAAGAAGAAGAAGAAGAAGAAGAAAAATAAAAGAAGAAATAGATTCTTGTAGATGGGAAAAAATGAAAATGTAAACGAAGAAGAAGAAAAGAAGAAGAAGATGAAGAAGAAGAAGGAGAAGAAATATGAACATGTAAACGAAGAAGAAGAAAAAGAAGAAGAAGAAGAAAAAGAAGAAGAAGAAGAAGAAGAAGAAGAAAAATAAAAGAAGAAATAGATTCTTGTAGATGGGAAAAAATGAAAATGTAAACGAAGAAGAAGAAAAGAAGAAGAAGATGAAGAAGAAGGAAAAGAAATATTTTCTTGTAAATGTGAAAACAAAGAAGTAAACGAAGAAGAAGAAGAGGAAGAAGAAGAATAAATAGAAGAAGAAATAGATTCTTGTAGATGGGAAAAAATTAAAATGTAAACAAAGAAGAAGAAGAAGAAGGAGAAGAAGAAATATTTTCTGGTAAATGTGAAAACAAAGAAGTAAACGAAGAAGAAGAAGAAGAAGAAGAAGAAGAAGAAGAAGAGAAAGAAGAAGAATAAATAAAAGAAGAAATAGATTCTTGTAGATGGGAAAAAATGAAAATGTAAACGAAGAAGTAATAAGAAGAAGTAAACTATTTTCTTGCAGATGTGAAAACAAATAAGTAAACGAAGAAGAAGAAGAAGAAGAAGAAGAAGAAGAAGAAGAAGAAGAAGAAAAGAAGGAGATATAGATTCTTGTAGATGGGAAAAAAAGAAGAAGTAAACGAAGAAGAATTGTCAATGCAGAGGAAAATGAGCTGGAGAAAAACCAGAAGATAAATCAAAACTAGAATGAGATAAACGAAAAGGATTAAAAAAGAATAAAAAAAAAATGTGAAATGCATTTTCATAAAATAAAATCCCTACTGTTTCCACCTTCACCAACCACCGAAAAAAAAAAGCTGAAATAAAATTATATAAACTTGACAATACCTGAACGGAATTTATTTCGTTTCGTAGAAATATAAACATATTTAAATGACATGTAAATGATATGCAAATTTAAAAAAGAAATACTTTCTATACGGGATCGAAAGGAAATAATTTGTGGATATTTCTTTATTTTATTCATTTTTTTTTTCCTTTTTTATTAACGCTGGAATAATCCCGTTAAAATAATTTTACATTTGTATTTTTGAAAAGCTTTTGTCTGTACTATGGATGCCCACACACTCTTCCTCTTTCTTTTGTGACGATTTTCGTCAGAAAAAATATGAAAGATTTGTTTGACACAAGGTTGGATATATGAGCAAATGATCGAGTGTGAGTAACCCAGTATTAAATGATCAATCAGAATAACTTGCGAATATTATTTTTTTTAATTTGATTACAGATTAATTAATTCTTATCTTTCTTCACATAATTCAAGCGCAGTACAAGATTGCTAAATTTTGTTTCACCATTTCAGAGTTAAAACTATTAGATGTAACCGTGAATTCTATGCTAACAGCTTTTTTCACTTACATTTCTCGTTTCTTCTTAAATCCTGTTTTTTTATTGTTCTCTATCCCGGCATGTTTTAAGGTTTCAATTACTATGAGTAAAATATTTTTCTTCCATCACTCTTGGTTTTATTGGATTGTTAAAAAGTTCCCATTTTATTGGCTCACCCTATATTAATGAAGAAACCACAAGTGTAAAACCAGACAAAGATGGCATATTGCTTCCCTATCTTGGTGCGGCCCAATACCATTATCCAGCCATGACAAAGTTCAAAACGAAGCCTTATGAGGGATTACTTATTCTTTCTGCTGCAAACCTTGTCCCACAGACAAAATATTAGCAGCCTTTTGCAAATATATTCGCTATTCTTCTTGACAGATCATAAGTATCACTTGGGCTTACATTCTGCTAGCCTGTTCCTATTTTCCAAGCCCATGATAGAATATTACTACCATATATTTGACTGGTACAGCCCAATAACCACTATCCAACCTTGACAGACTTCAAAACACGGCCTTCTAAGTTGATTAATTATTCTTCACTCGGCCACACTTTTCCAACAGACAAAATATTAGCAGCCTCTGCTACTATATCGAAATTCTGAAGAAATTCAGAAGAGTTACATTCCTTAATTCCACCACAGCCCAAACGTTCAGAACTGTGACACGGCATTGCATCCTAATATTTGCAAAGCAACTCCATTCTCTTCGCGTTGCTTTGATGAAAAGCAAATTCCACTCAAACCATTTTTTTCCAAGAACTTTTCTTTTGTGAATCAAGTTCCGTAGAGAATGCTTCCTTGACAACTAAAATTTTCCTCTATTTAAGTCCAATATCAACCTATACCTATTCTATACATCCTGATAATGATTCTTCGTTTCTTTCCCTAACAATCTCACGCAATAAACGCCTGTGTTACTCTTAAGCTTTTAATTGGATGAACAGTTCAAAATGAAGTATTTTGATCACACTAATATTAGGTTTGTGAAATCATTTTATACCGCTACTGAAATTTCGTATAAAGTAGCATCAACATTAACACATTACTATTCACCGTTCATTTTTAGAGCCCTCCCTTTACCCATGGTTCAGCATATATTACGAACAAAACAAGTAATTTTCTTAGATTTCAGAGGTCTTAAGCTAATATTAGTTTAATCTGCATAATAACTTCAGTCAGTCCATTTTCGTAATTTTCATTTATCTCCAAAACTAACCATTAAACATGGCAGAAAATTTAATTAAATATTCTAGTAAGGACGAAAATAGACGATTGGTTTGGTTTGGTTTGTTTTAAGCCATATCAACCTCAGTGTATTATTCAATGCCGAAAATATTTTAATTGTTGGTAATAAATTTGTTCAAAAAGCATTGCTGGTAATATTTCCTCCAAAAATGAATTCCTGGTAATATTTTCTTAAAAAAAACATTATAGCTGGTAATAAAAATGTATTGCTGTACTAAAACCTATTTTTACACATTTTGACCCCAGTTTGGAGGTTAACTATTAGCCCATAGATGGAAACCTAAAAGTTTCTACTAGCCCGGGTAAGAGTAAACCTGGGAACACCAGCAATTAAGAGGTGGTTCCATGCTCCTTTAAAACCTCCTGATTAGAGGCCTTGCTGTCGGACGTAGTTTATCGTCTTATCCAGGACGCCATTTTTAAGGACTGTGATAATAGGTTGCAGGTCGAAACCTATAATTAATACCGGATTCTTATTTCTTTTTAAAAGTTAATACAGAATTTTACTGTGGTAATTAATTGGGTAAATTGTGACAAGTATTAGACAACCGTTCATTAATGCAACTGGTAAATACTAAGTATTAAAAAGAAATAAGATAGACCCAATTGTCGTAATCAAAACGAGGTAGCCCAAGTTTAAAATGGCGTGAGACAATAATATCTAGTGTGTTTTCTATTTGGTTAGTTTATAAATAGCAGAACGTGTGACACTAAACTGAAGTCACATGAGAAAAGAGAATGATACCTCACAAAAACTAAGCAATGTATTAATAGAACTTTCGAAACAAAGAAATGATTGCTTGATTATTATGTAATATGCTAGATATTTTCTCTGCAGATATAAAGCAGACAGATAGCGGTACAGATATATGGTTCTAATGATGAATATATAGAATAACATAGCAGGTGTATTTGAATCATAGGGAAGTTGTAAGGTAAATAAAACACAGAGGTAAAGGTGAGAAGTACAAATCAAATTGTGGCAGCTGAAATTTTAATGGAAATTTATGAGGAAAGAAGACTTGTAAAATTCATATTGAATACACGAAACTGAGTCTTTCTTTTTCTTCGGGATATTTTACTTGCGGTGCGTAGTACTTATCTGTTCTTGGAAGGAGTGAGCGGAAAAGTAAGACAAAAAAATTGTGCCAATCGTGTCAACAATGTCTTCTTCAGATTAAAAAGCTCACGGAAAGGATTCACAGACAGTAACTACGAAATTTTAGCGAGAATGGAAGCAAAAAGGACACGGACCATTTTTTTTTAGAGAAGAATTCATACAACCTCTGTCTCCCAGGCGAGATGTGGCGGATTTCTCACTGTTCTGTCGCCATTACCATAGAAAGTGCTCGGACGAAATGCATTCCTTGGTTTCGCCCGGTCTAATTTCACGGATAAGAACCGACATAACACTTACATAGTAAAAAAAAAAAACAAAGAAAAACGAACCACATTCAATCCGTATTTCGTTGTCGACAAGCTCCACTCAGTTTCTTCCCTCAAACCAATGTCTTGTGGAACAGACTCCTGGGGGGGGGGGATGTTTCCTCATCATTACAAACTTAACCTGTTCATGTCTAGAGTCAAACGTTATGTTCCACTCCTCTCTATATAAGCTACCTCTGGGAACCCCGAAGCGGTGTAATGGTTACAAAGCTTGTCTCGCTAGAACAATTACGAATAATTAGTGAGTTCGATCTTCACTGATTGCCCCATACTTTCGGTCTTGTGTCACATCTAATCTACGCTTGGAAAATCGGGACACCTAGAGGCGGTGTAATGTAGAGCAAGCTTGTCTCGCTAAAACAATTACGACTGAGTAGTGAGGTCGAACCTTACTGGGTATCCCATACTTTCGGCCTTGTGCCACATCTAAGCTACGCTTGGAAAATCGCTATATAAACTACCCCTTAACTGAAACATTTAACAGCGAGCAGCCCGCGGGACTTGTACACTGTAAAAATAAATAAATTCATACTTACCATAAAAATGTGTTGTAGATTAGTTTTCACAGTGGAGGCTTGTATTTCACTAAGTTGTCCTAAATTAGGTTCGACGTACAAAACGTTAGGAACTTGAAATAAGAGTTAATGACGCAGCAATCTAGTTGTGATGGTTGATACTTCAATGTCCGACAGACTCATTCAACACCACTGAGCCCAACTGGCAACCGCTACTACTACTACTACTTATTATGTGCGGGAGAGTCTATTAATAATAGAATAGGTACGTCAGGTATAACAAAAAGACAGCTGAAACTTTTAGCAGAAATCATGAAGAAAAGATCTTGGAAAATTTGACACTCACAAAACATACTGAAGGCAAGGGAAACATCCGAAAACAAGGTTTGGAGCCTTCACACAGTATACATTTTATTTCGTTCCGTTTACTTTATCCGGTTTAATTTGGATGAGATATGTAGTAGGCATCTGTCCTCGGAAGAAGCGAGAGGAAATGTAAAATAGAAAAAACAGATATCAAAAATAACTTCTCGAACTTAAACAGCCAACGAAAAGGAACAAGAGATATTGACGAAGAATTTTTACCGAAAATGGAAACATCAAAGACATTAATAATTAACATAAAATAGAGAGAGTTGAAATTTCTTGCGGAAAGGGGGCTTGGAGAATTTGACCCGCACAGGACATACTGAAGGCAAGAAAAAGATCGGAAAACAACATACTTGATGAGTTTGTGTAATTTAGGTGACAGAACAAGAGCCATATTCTGCCATCCATACCAGAAAAGATAACAAACGGATAAAATTTACAAAATATAAGGCATTTGTGTAGAGACATGGTCGCCAATTTTTTGAAGAGACAAAACACAGCGAAGGATAAGAATGTGTTGTTGAAAATACTAGCTGTTTGTGTTTCCAATGCTGCAACCGAAGTCCTCTAATTCAAGGCCTTTTTAAAGTCTCATATAATAATAAAAAAGAAAATCAATATCTGTAGGTTTCGACGCTAGCGGGGATCAAACCATTCACTTTCGTTCGGGTCGTCAAATGTCTGACCAGTATCCAGCAATTTTGACATGTTTGAACTGAAACACGCTGTAAGTTAGACAACAGTATTACTTTTCACTTGATCTCGCATACGTTACTTCACCTCCAAAATATATCCATTCATAATGTTTCTTAAGTGAATAAGCTACCGCTTATCTAAGCACACATACATTTCTAAAAATAAACGTTTAAAAAACGGCACTGAACAAATTTAAAACGAAAGATGGAAGAAAATCTGTGGTAAATGACAGGGAAAATAAAACAAAAGGCGAATCGAAATATACGCGGCAT